TCACCCACCCCCTACCACACCCCCCCCACGCCCCAAAAAAAATTTAAGTTTGTTTTTTTAAAAAAAAATCAATTTCAAAAATTATTTTCTACTCTAGTAAAAATAAAAGATATTTCTCAAAAATATTTTTCATTCATAAATCAAACACTAAAAATCTTTTTCGAAAAATATTTTCTAATCACCAACCAAACATGAGAAAATAAGTCAAAAATCAACTTGTTTTCCGAGAAAACATTTTCTAGGAAAACATTTTCCATGGAACACATTTTCCTTCATACCAAACACACCCGTAGTCTTAATTATGTCATGTATGAGTCTTTCTGAACAAGCTAAAAATATATATTGCAGGTGATGAGAGCATTAGGAATCGGGAAGGTGATTCGATCTAAGGACGCAAATTTTTCAGAGGGAGAAGTAGTAATGAGCCGTATTTGCCCTGTTGCTGAATTTGGTGTTCTGCCTTCTAATTTGCTTCAGAAAATTAATCCTGCCGATGGAGTTGCCTTGCCGGATTATCTTAGTTGCTTAGGTATACTAATTTTTAAAGTTATAGATTTCTCAACTCATGAACTTCACATTTTGACTCCGATCCTATATACGTTACATAGGAATGCCAGGAATAACAGCTTGGGTGGGCATAGAAAAGATTGGAAATGCTAAAGAGGGATCAAATGTTTACATATCGGCTGCAGCAGGAGGAGTTGGAATCATAGCTGGACAGCTAGCCAAAGTTAAAGGCTGTCGAGTTGTCGGAAGTGTAGGCTCTGATCATAAGGTATAAATCTGTCCATCTGTTCACTTTTACTTGTACATTGTACTGAAAATAAATATTCAAATTATATTATATTGTTATTTTCTTTTTGTAGGTGAAGTTGTTGAAAGAAGAGTGTGGGTATGATGAAGCTTTTAATTACCGTATAGAGACAGTTTATGATGCTGCATTAACCAAGTAAACTATTTTGATTTTTGTAGCCATTTTTTCCCCTTATTTTGGATTAATAATACTTACTATAACTTAAAATTTACATTATGTTTTTATAGATATTTTCCGGATGGAATTGATGTATATTTTGACAATGTTGGTGGTAAAATGCTTGAGGCTGTCCTTAATCACGTCAACCATGGAGCTCGTATTGCACTTTGTGGAATGATATCTGAGTATAACAAGGTATTTTTTGTTCTAGTATTCGGAACTTACTGACTCGACATTTCCTTCGTTTTTTTAATTCTTTAAAAAGTTAATGAAACGAACTATACTGATCATCATATGAATTATTTTTATATTATAATTATCTAGTATTTAGAACTTACTAACTCGATATACCTATAAAAAAAATCTTTGGACTTTGTAGGTTTGGACAGAAAGAGAAGGAGTTAGGAATTTATTGAACATGGTGGGTAAAGAAGTTATGATGAAAGGGTTTATGGTTGGTTCCTATTATAATCACTTTGAGGAATTTATTAAG